ACGCAGCCCACAGGTGCCCTGGCACAGGCCTCCACCGGGCCCAGGCACTCCTGCCTCGGTGTCCTAGTCTCAGTGTCTGCCCCTAACTTCTCCGCATGCCCCTGGGGTCAGAGGGCCCAGGAGGGGGAATGGGGCCCCCACTGCCTGCACCCTTAGTTCCTGCAGAGGGACAATTAGAGGTGGTTGGAGCCTCATTTACAGTCGGCAACACTGAGACTGAGAGGCCTCGCCAGCGAGGTGACCCAGTCGACAGGCCCCCAGCACCTACTTTAACAGGGTGACCGTGAAGCAGTGCACGATGGCCCTAGAGTCAGGGCCTAGGGTCTGGCCTGTACCCCAGGAGCCGCTTGTCTATGTGGGATGTCTTTGCGTTGTGTGGTGTGTGGCTGTGGGGTCCACAGGCTTGGTGAAAGCCCAGGTCCAAGCACACAGCCCTCAGGAGCGTGAGGGAGTGCCCAGGTGAGTGAACAGCTGCCCTGGGCTCTCTCCCAGCTGCTGGAAGCTGCGGCCTGGCTGTGCCCATGTGAGCAGCGGGGTGTGTCTCGCTCTTCTGTGACCGCCACTGCGGGGCTTTGTGCCCCCCTCTGTGTAACGGCATGTTCCCGGGTGAGCCGAGTGGGGGGCCCTGCGGGATGACACTCAGTGTGACTGCCCACCGCAGGAGTTGTGCCAGGGGCTGAGATTGTGTTCCCGGGTGTGTAAATTGGGTGGCTGATCCTGAGGCGTGTGTGTGTGTGTGTGTGTGTGTGTGTGTATGTGTGTGCGCGCATAGCCTTAATCAGCTGTGTCCCACTGTGTGTCCCGAGATGTTATGGGGACACTACACACACACACACACACACACACAGGGCCCTGCGCGTGCACACACCACCCCCCCCCCACACACACACGGGCCCTGCGCGTGCACACACCACACACCACACACACACGCATGCACACACACACACGGGCCCTGAGCGTGAGGTCCGAGCGGGACTGGGGGTCGCGAGGACTCCCCGACGGCAGGAGCTTGGTGAGCGAGGTTGCGGGCGCGCGTGCGCACTCTCCAGGGGGAGTTTGCAGGGCCGGTCGGCTGGCCTTTCTGGACCCTCGCGCCTCTTGGAGAGGTTGAGAGGCCACCTGTCCTGGCAGCTGAGGGCGACCCCTGAGAGGCCGCAAAGCTCAGTCCTGCAGCCGAGCCCCTGGGTGCTGGCGCCCAGAAGCCCCTCCTCTGTGCTGGGTGTGGCGTTGGGTCCTGGACACGAGGTGCTCTTGGGCGGGTAGGAGGGCAGTTCTAACTCCCAGACCCTGCGGGTGGGGGGGCTGGGGGCCCTCAAAACTGGGAGCTCAGTCTGGGCCTAGCGGCAGCCCGAAGCTGACATTGCCACTTACCGGCTCTGTGGCTTTGGGCAAAGGCGCGCCCCTCGCCCAGGCGCATTTTCCTTCCAGAGCAATGCAGGAGGATCATCAGCGCCATCCCTTAGTGTGGGGGAGAGCTGGGAAGGTGCTCGGAGCTGCGACCTTCCACCGCAAGGGCACCCAGTGGCTGGCAGTTTTGTTAAAGTGCCAGGGAAAGGTGCCTGCAGGAGGGAAGGCTTCCCGTGGCTGATGGCCAATGGCCTAGTCGCAGGATCCTAAGACATCCAGGCACCTCGAGTGGCCTTGATGGGAAACAGGCGGCCAGGTCGGCGAGGAGGCGGGGTCCTGCTGGAGAGGCCCCACCGTGAGGGCCAGGCCAGGAGGGAGGACTTGGCTGTCCGGGCAGAGGAGCCCTGGGTGTGGGCCTGCTGCACCCCTCTCTTGTCCTGCTCTTCTGCCTGAGCTAATAGTGGGACCGGCCCTCCCCTCCACAGGGACACCTCCATTCTCTGCCCAACTTTGGGGCCATTTTGGAGAAGAGAGTCTTCTGGCCAGAAGACACCAGGCAGATCACTGCCCTTTCAGGCCTTCCTTGCCCATCTGCACAGTTTTGAGGTTGGGTTCCATTTTCGAGCCCCTTTAAGCACAAAGACTTTCTGAAACTGGCATTTGGCTCCTGCCCAGCTTGGGAGCAGGGCATGTCTGGCATTGCCACCCCATCCCTGGGGGTCCTGGCGTGTCCCTGGGCATCTTCTTACACTGGTTTTGGGGTCTGGGCAGAGTGTGGTAGTTGGGAAGGCAGGCCCCAGCCCCGAAGAGTCCCGCATCCTAGCATGGAGGCAGGCGGCGAGTTACCTGGGCAAATAAATGGGAGGCCAAGGAGAGGGATGATCTCAAGATATTCTATGAAGAAAGCAAAGGAGGAAAGCGGGTGATAGTAAAGTATGAGGGGGCTGTGCAGAGACCTGGAGGAAGAGTAGGCGGCTGAGGGCACAGCAAGTGCAAAGGCCCTGGGGTGAGGCCTGGCAGAGGAGCTGGGCTGGTGCCCTGGTGGGGGAAGAGCAGTCCTTGAGGGCTCTGTGGGCCAGAGGGGCTTGTGTGTGTGAAAGTGCACTCCAGCTCCCATGTGGAGTGTGGCTTATAGGGGGTCAGGGGTAGAGGCCAGGGGGTCTGGGGGAGGTGGGCACAATGATCTGGGTAAGAGCTGATGATGGCCCTGGCTGGTTTGGCTCAGTGGATAGAGCATCAGCCTGGGGACTGAAGGGTCCCGGGTTCGATTCCGGTCAAGGGCACATGCCCAGGGTTACGGGCTCAATCCCCAGTGCGGGGCATGCAGGAGGCAGCCAATTGATGGTTCTCTCTCATCATTGATGTTTCTATCTCTAGCTCTCCTTCTCCCTTCCTCTCAAATCAATAAAAAAAATATATATATAAAATATTTTTTTTAAAAAGCTGATGATGGCAGCTTATGTGTGGCCGTGGAGAGCAAAGAAGGGAGAGAATCAGAGATTTGAGCTGAAGGTAGTGGGGTTGGGAGTTGGGTTTCAATCCCATCAGACATCCCAGGAGAGATTTGATTCTTTGAACCTGGCCTTGACTCTTGGCCAGGGCTGGAGACGGAGGGGGTTATCTGAATCCTGGTCCCTTCCCCCCTCATGCCCTCACGCCTTAGCCTGCCCAACAGAGGGTCTCAGCGATGGGGGAATCTGCAGAAACATCTCCTGTGGAGGCTAGAGATGCCCCAGTCCCCTTTGTGGCCAGAGCCATCCTGTGCTCGTCTGTTTCTTGTAGAGGGTCCTGGAGGAATGTTGGTGTGGAGGTGGGGTTCTGCTGTTACAGTTTGGGAAACACCACGTGGTTGCATCCCCTATTTCACCAAAGGGGATGCCAGGGCCTGGAGAGGAAGTGACCCGCCAAGCTCCCGGAGGGCACTAGCGAGGTAGACTGGCTGCTTTTGAAATGTGGCCTGCTGGCCTTGCAGGATTATCACAAGGACTGGGTAAGAGGCTGCAGATAGAGGTCCCTGCATACGCAGCCACCAACGAAGCCACTTCCTGTCTCAGCCTCGGTTTCCTCCTCTGTGAAATGGAGTGAAGGAGTTGCACTGCTCAGGTCCCTGGCTCTCCTGGGCTATGCTTTCCTCTCCTTCCTGCTGATCCCTGTCTCCATGTGGGATCTGGGTCAGACGGCCTCAGAAACAGACTCTGCCTGGGGGTACGCTGACTGTGGGTCCCTGCCCTCAGGGATGCACAGCAAAGTCTAAAAGTACAGCGATGGGCTGGCCTGGAGGGTGAGAGGGAGCTGGGGTCCTAGTGGGCTACTTGTGTCAAGGCTCAGCCTGTTCTGTAAATGGTAAATACTTGCAGCCTGTGGTGAAGCCCATGAACGGCTGCCACCTGGAATGAACTAGTACTTGCATTTGTAGTTGGTTTGGGTCTTTTTATTGTTACTTTTTAAATGGTTTATTTTTTTACTTTAGAGAGAGAGGAAGGGAGAGGGAAAGAGAGAAACATCGATGGGCTGCCTCCTGCACACCCCCACTGGGGATCAAGCCGGCAACCTGGGTATGTGCCCTGACCGGAAATCGAACCAGTGACCTTCTGGCACATGGGACAACGCTCAGACAACTGAGCCCCACAGGCCAGGGCTTGGGCCTTTTTAACTTGGGGATGAAGGTGACAGGGATAAGTTGGAGGCCCCTCTGTCCCCTTTGCATTGCTCCACTTCTGCCTCGGAGGCTCTGTCTTTGTGAACTGGGGGGAGACGTCTAGAGGTCTGCTGTGGGTGTGTATGTCCTCGAGCACGTTTGCCCTGGCAGGTGGTTTTAGACTAGGCCCATAGATGACAACCATGGTCGGTGTTGCTAAGCATCTTGTGTTTTTCTCCTGGGATTGGTTTTGAGGTGGCACATAGCCATGGAGAGTTTGTTCATAGCCCAGCAGGTGAGAGAGTCACCTGTGTGTCTGTCCCTGCTTCCAGGTGTAACCAGGTGTGGGCATCCTTGTTGGTGAGGGCACAGGTAAGAGACTCTTGAGGAAGAAACCCCTGAGCTGGGTCCTGGAGGCTGAGCAGAGGCAGTGGACACAGGGAAACCTCTGCGGAAGGGCTTGAGAAGAGGAGGCATCTGGGAAGAGGATGGGAGGAGGGGAGGTGGGCATGGAATCTGTAAGGGGGTGGGTTGTCACTGACCACTGGGTGGGAGAAAGGCTGTAGGCAGCAGAGGCCCCCAGAGGCTGATGAGGATGGCCACCTCCCTGGCGAGAGATAGCTGAAGGCCTGGCCTTGAGGGTGGCAGAGAGGAGGGAGCAAATGTGTGGGCTGGAGAGTCCCTTTGGGGGGCATCAGTGAGAACTGGCTGGTTGGTCAGATGGGAGGAGGGAGGGGACATGGGAGAGAAATATGAGTAGGGACAAAGCTGGGTTTGTGGAGTGAGAAAGGAGGGAGGCTGTCTTGGGGAGTATGTGGGGGGGGGGGGGGGGAGGGCACTGAGCAGGGAGCACTCGTTACCCTAATTCCTGATAATTATGGTAATTCCTGATAATTATGGTGCTGCTGCTGCATTTTAGTTCATAAGGCTTTAACAAATCACTGTGTCACCACTTCCCTGCACAGCCCGTGTGCGTTTCTCCCTGTGAGCGCTCCATGCCAGGCCCCATATCCTCCACGTCACTGCTCCTTCTCTAGGGAGGCCCCTCTGGAGACACGCTCTGCTCCCTGGGTGGGCTCCATTGGGTGGGCTCTTTTATTCTTTCAATATATTTTTTTATTTATTTCAGAGAGAGGAAGGGAGAGGGAGAGATAGAAACACCAATGATGAGAGAGAATCATCGATGGGCTGCCTCCTGAATGCCCCCTACTGGGGATCCAGCCTGCACCCGGGCAGGTGCCCTGACCTGGAATCAAATTGTGACCTCCTTGTTCATAGGTGGGCGCTCAGTCATTGAGCCATACCCGTGGGCTCTTTTTCCTACAGGTCATTTGTTTAGCCGGGATTTGGCTCTAGAGCCCTGCCCTTCCTTGTAACCGAGCTCAGAACCTGGATGGTCAGAGGCCTGAAGTCCTCCCTAGAGGTCCTGAAACAACCTGGCCAAATGTCCCGGCTTCAAAACTTTACACCAAAAACAAGAAAACAGCTCAGAATTCCTCCCCGAGACTTAATCCTGGTAAAAATTAAAGTACCAGCATTATGAGAATCTTTGGCTGCTCTTTGCTCTTGGGGTAAAACCCCAAATGCTTAACATCGAGACAGTGCTCACCGACCATCTCAGTCCACCTCTTGTGAGCTTAGCAGGGAGGGAAAGAGACCGAGTCCCTGCCCTCCCAGCTACAGTTCAGTGGGGCTTGAGGCAGTGAGCAGAAATGTGTCAAGTGGAGATAGATAAGACGATAGGGAGGAATTGGGCAGGGCAGAGGTTAGGGGTAACGGGGAAGCCTCTGACAGGTGACATGGGAGCCATGCAGGTCTCTAGGTGAAGTGCCCCAGGCAGGGGAGTAGCCTGTGCCAAGGCCCTGGCATAGAGGGTGGCCAGTGTGTGTGTGGGGGGCACCGGAGGTTCTAGCAGGGAATGCTGTTGTGGGGGGGGGGTGTAGACTCTAGGGGCTGGGAGAGAGTAGCCATTGGAGGGTCCTGTCAAAATTCAGGTAAGGGAGACAGTGGCCTGGACCAGGTGTGTTAGAGAGGGCAGGAGAGAACTTTCTCCTTAAGATTTTACCCACATTTAATAAGTGCAGCTGTCTCGATCTCAGGGGACAGCATGCACCACACCTCTGTGAGTCAAGGCCGAACCACCCAGGTTGGACCACACAGGTGGAGGTGGGAGGCAGGGGCGGGGGTGGAGGAAAGGAGAGAGAGAGAGAGAGAAACATCAATGATGAGAAGGAATCATTGTCGGCTGCCTCCTGCACGCCCCCTACTGGGGATCGAGCCCACAACCTGGGCATGTGCCCTGACCCGGAATCGAACCTGGGACCCTTCAGTCTGCAGGCCGATGCTCTATCCACTGAGCCAAACCGGCTAGGGCAAGGTTGGGCCTTTAGATGCCAGGTGGATAGTGGACCCAAGTTCGGGAAGGCCAGGCTGGAGCACGCTGTGTGTTGTTGTGTGAAGATGTCGTCAAAGCAGGAGGGAGGTCACCTAGAGCAGCGGTCGCCAACTGGTGGTCCATGAGGTCCAAAGGGTTGGCAACCGCTGGCCAAGAGAGAGGAAAGGAAAGGACTGGGCTGATGGGGAGGAGAGCAGGCAGAGTGGCTCCTAGACCCGTGTCCTGGGTCAGATGCCACCACTGGACAGTCCAGGGCCAGGGGAAACAGAGGGGGACCTGGTGGGCTAGCAGCCTGGAGCCGTTGGCCAATGTGGTAGGACCAAGGGCCACTTCTTTAAAAGCCTTCTGCTCCTGGGGTATGTGGCTAGCCCATGCCCTCCTCCCACCCTGAACCCCCAACTAACTCCATCTTGCTACCTGTCTCTGGTGTCTCATTCCCCTAGTCTTCACTGCTCCCTGCACTGACCCCAAAGTGGGCAGGGGCCCTGCTGGAACCCTAGCTGCTCTTTTCGCCCAGAGGGGGGGACAGTGAGCAGATCTGGGCTTTTCATATCCATTCTTTTGCCAATGGATGTGGGCCTGGGGATGCAGGCCACTTGAGAAGGCTCAGGAAGCCTCTAGAACAGTGATGGCGAACCTTTTGAGCTCGGCGTGTCAGCATTTTGAAAAACCCTCACTTAACTCTGGTGCCGTGTCACATATAGAAATTTTTTGATATTTGCAACCATAGTAAAACAAAGACTTATATTTTTGATGTTTATTTTATATATTTAAATGCCATTTAACAAAGAAAAATCAACCAAAAAAATGAGTTCATGTGTCACCTCTGGCACGTGTGTCATAGGTTCGCCATCACTGCTCTAGAAGGGGAGGAATCACAGGGGGGAGTGGACAGGGGAGCTTGGAGTGCAAGGGGCTGGGAAGACGACTGGGCTGGAGAGGGGCAGACGCTGGAGATTGCTGGAGGGTGCAGCTTCGGAATCTGGGGGG